GTAAGTAAGTAAGTAAGTAAAGTAAGTAAGTAAGTAAGTAAGTAGTAGTAAGTAAGTAGTAAGTAAGTAAGTAAGTAAGTAAGTAAGTAAGTTAAGTAAGTAAGTAAGTAAGTAAGTAAGTGTAAGTAAGTAAGTAAAGTAAGTAGTAAGTAAGTAGTAAGTAGTAAGTTACTGGCTACAAACTGCATTTGAATAGAAATCCTTGCCCTGATTACTATATATTACTTGTTTATGTATAACTTTCCTAAATAAAACTCATGGTCATTCTACCGACACTATTTACGTTAAAACATTTCTTTGGACAGAGCACTAAACTAGCAGCTATATTCTATTTTCCCGGTACAATTGAGTTAGGGATCTGTTTAATTCCAAGAAGTTGTTTCAGCACTAGTATACGTTCCATTGATCTAGCTTAGTACCAATGTAAAACTAATGTCAACGACCTAGATCTTTGAAAATTCTTAAAAAGTATTTTGGAACCTCAACAATGTACCGAGGAACTGATTCCAGAAGTAATTGCGACTTCACTAGTTTCAAGATTATTGTTTAAGAAACTGAAGTGATTCTTTTTAGTCTCGTTTTAGAACTAGATTTTTGAACAAGTTCTTAAATTTTTCCCAGGAACAAACAAATAAATATTGTAAAATGTATATGGAAAATTTAATTTTTTTAACATATTTTAATAATTATAGAAAACATTTTTACATAAAGCTTTGCAAAACTGTCAAGAAGTATAAAATGTTGTTAAATAACAGTCACATTCAATTCAATGTTTTTATCTGAATAGAAATAATAAACCATTAGGAACCAATTTCAATAATGAAATATTACAAAGCAAATGAAATTTTTTATTTAAAAATGTTATGGAAAATATTCAGATGCATTAAAGTTTTAAAGAAAATCTAACATTTGTCACGTACCTAAAAAATTCACTCTTATATCTTTGTAACCTAGTGCAATTAAGCAAGTTCTTTTACTGATTCAATTATATATGTATGTATTTACAAAACAACAGCTGTTATCTATTACATATGTAAACATCTGGCACCATTCTTAGAGAATGGTTTTTAAACTTCAAAATATTCTTCAATAAATATTAAAACTACTCTTGTAGTAATCTTTTGAAATTCCAACAGAATAGAAAAACATTTTTAAGAAAATTATTCCTATAATGAAAGAGTTTTAGCAACAATTGATAAAAAAAAATGTGCACATTTATTTTAAGATTTCAAAAACACATACATTTTTTAAACAATGTGTTGATATTAAAGTAAAAGAAATGGTTAAATAGTATAATTATGACAAGGTTTCTTTTAGTGATAAATGGTTAATTTTAAACATGCATAAATAAAAATGTTTTTGTTAACAAATAACAACAACAAATACCAAATGTGTCATTATCACAATTATTTGTTTACTTGTTTACCAAAATAAAAATTTTTAAATGAAATCAAAAATAAACAAAAGAATTGAAGAAAGAAACTAAAAATAGATAAAGTAGAGAAATACTTGAAAACTACTAAATCTTTTGTGGGTGTTTTACGAATGATTGAATGCATAATAATAAAATATTAATATATTAATATATAAAATATTATCATTTTAAGGACCCTACGAGGGTCAAAAAAGAAATGTTATTTAGGTGGCTTTATGTTTATATTGTAAAGTACGTATTTTAGATCCTAATAGATATCAAAACCGATTTACTGTTGTGCGTATGTTAATTGAAATATAATTTTTCTGAAGCATAATACCAAAAACCCAGAAACTTTTCCAGAATTTTGAATAAAATTCGATGAACCCAACATTTTTGCTATGGTCGTATTGTTAAGCGACATGTAAATAAAATACGTTTATTGTAAATGAACTGACGGACGTACTTACTTACTTACTTACTTACTTACTTACTTACTACTTACTACTTACTTACTTACTTACTTACTTACTACTTACTTACTTACTTACTTACTTACTTACTTACTTACTGACTTACTTACTTACTTACTTACTTACTTACTTCTTACTTACTTACTTACTTACTTCTTACTTACTTACTTATTACTTACTTACTACTACTTACTTACTTACTTACTTACTTACTTACTTACTTACTTACTTACTTACTTACTTACTTACTTACTACTTACTTACTCTTACTTACTTACTTACTTACTACTTACTTACTTACTTACTTACTTACTACTTACTTACTTACTTACTTACTTACTTCTTACTTACTTACTTACTTCTTACTTACTTCTTACTTACTTACTTACTTACTTACTTACTTACTTACTTACTTACTTACTTACTTACTTACTTACTTACTTACTTATTCTTACTTCTACTTACTTACTTACTTACTTCTTACTTACTTACTTACTTACTTACTTACTTACTTACTTTACTTTACTTACTTACTTACTTACTACTTACTTACTTACTTACTTACTTACTTACTTACTTACTTACTTACTTACTTACTTACTTACTCGAATTT